TGCAGCCCAGTTCCAGATGTGTTTTACCTGGAATGACTGTGGTGAGAGCTAACACCATTAGGACTGCAGAACTGATTCTCAAATTATGTTAACTGGTGTCAAAAGATGAAAGAAGACAAAGACAGATGCCAGTAGTACAGTGGAAAAATGAAAGCTCATTGATAGGAACGCTGAAGAAATCCTAGCTAGTAGTGTGTTTTCACTGCAACATTGGCATTTGTCTTTGCCTTTTTTTGTCTTACTGACTGGCTCAGCCCTCTTGTTTTGCTGTCAAACAAAAGACGCAGAGTGTGTGTTTGATCACAAAATACCTGTCAAAACAGGATTGTTGCTCTCTTCTCCAGATCGTTCTCCTAAGGAGAGCTTGAACTTGGGCCGTATGGGTAGGGCGGGATATAAATCCCAAGAAATAAATAAATAAATAAATTCTTAACACTGGTTGGCAGCCATTGAAATTGTATTTAATTCTGCAAATTCAACAATTTACAGTAGCACTATAAACAGTTTACCTACTCAAGGTTCAAATAATAACTTACCATTTAAACTAAAATGCTGTAGAACAGCACTTGGAATTAACTGACAAGATTCCCTGTGGACCATGAACAAAAGGGAGCAGTTCTCCATGGTTGCATACAGGAATCATTTCTTGGAACTGGATCTTTCTTATCCTGGAGATGTCAGGGACTATGCCTGTGATCTTCTGTATGGAAAACATGTGTATGTTGTCAATGAATTTCAATGGGCTTTAAGCACAACCAGTGCTGTTTAGGAGCTGATAGAGACAATTCACTATCTCAGAATCATCCAAGAAGTCTGTGTTCAAGTTTGAATCCACATCAAAAGTGGCACACTCCACTCAGTTTGTGTGGTATTTATAATATGCTACCAGTGATACTTGATGGCATCAGGAGTCACATGTGGCTTTTTGACATGCTCCTTGTGGCTCTTCTAACCACGGTTCCCTGATGTGGCACCTGCCCCATGTTTCAAGGAAGTGGGATTGTGGTTGGCAGGTGGTTCCCAACTTGACTACAGCCACTGTCAGAGGAATGAGCAGGCTGCGAACCTCCCTAAGGTTCAGGCAGTGTGCCAGGGATGAAGGTAAATACTCTTTTGGCTGGTGGAAATTGTGAATGTGGGGTCACGGTGGCTCAAGTGGTTAAGATGCTCAGTTGCAGACCGGAAGGTCGGTAGTTCAGCAGTTCAAGACCCGAGTGCCGCGTGACGGATTGAGCCCCCGTCTCTGGCCCCAGCTCCTGCCAGCCTAGCAGCTCGAAAGCAAGAAATTGCAAGTAGATAAATAGGTACCACTTCGGTGGGAAGGTTAACAGTGTTCCATGCGCCTTGGCGTTTAGTCATGCCGGCCACATGACCATGGAAACGTCTTCGGACAGCACTGGCTGTTCGGCTTGGAAACGGAGATGAGCATCGCAACCCTAGAGTCAGATTCGACTGGCTTTCAAGCAAGGGAAGCCTTTACCTTTACCTTATTGTGAATGTGATTCTCATGAGCCACAGAGATTTACCACTGCATTAAAACGCTCTCTCAAACTTCTCTATCATTTTGAAAAGTTATTGTAAAAATTGTAAAACCCTTTGCCTCAAGTGTTGTGCATTTGAATTTTCAGATGTCAATGACTGCTCGCCAAATCCATGTCATCATGACGGCCGGTGCATTGACTTAGTGAATGACTTTTATTGTGAATGTAAAAATGACTGGAAGGGCAAAACATGCCATTCACGTAAGTGTCTTCTAGGTGTGCTGAGTTTTTTGTTCTGATTTTGTGTGTGTTAATAATTACCAGAAGTTGGAAAGGAAGCTTTTAAACGTCTTGGAAAATGGATTTGTTGAAGGAAGTCGTGCACAAACACGTCCGATAATCGTCTTTTTCTCCAAATGGAGCAAACAACTTAAAAAATTTGGCACAGTGTGTTGAACAAAGCTGGAGAGACTTGCTTGCAGTCATTTTAGAAACTATGCAATAGCAAAATGCAAAGCCACAGGTTTCTCAGTCTGATTTTATAAATTCAGTTTGCAAACTGCATTTTGGGATTATTGAACAAGTTGCTTTCACCAGTATTCCAAGTAAATAGTAAGGGTTTGTTCATTCACATTATCCTACACTGTCTGGAAGAACCTCTTGATTTCTACCAAGTGTTAAAACAGCAAATATAAGCAACCTGTAAATGTTAGGCTTGTACAACAAAGTATTAGGAAGGCCCCTACGCTTCTGTCTATTTCCAAAATGTGTAAAACAGAATTGTTCAGAAGGGCATTCTTGCAGAAGGAGCAAAGCAAATGGATGGTCTCAGCTGATGACTTTTATTAGGCATTAAGTCTTTCCTATAATGATTGTTCTCTTAAGCAGATGTTTGCATCTGTTCTTGGTGTCCCCCCCCCATTCTGCAGTCCCAACCGAGCAGTGTTTATTTTGTCTTACTAGGCATCTTTGCGTTTTAGATTCCAGTGTTTATGATACTATGTTAATCCACTTACTGATTGACTGAACTTTTTAAAAATTATAATTGTAATTTGTCTCAAGACCCATTGAGAAAGGTGGGCCGCGAATGAAAACGATAATAATATATCTAACCTCTGAGCTTAGCCGTGTTCCTGTAAAGCAAGGAAGGTGTCATGTGTATAATCGGTTATTTGTGACTTCTAGGCGAGTACCAGTGCGACGCAAATACTTGTGCGAACGGAGGGACATGTTATGATGATGGTGACACTTTTCGATGCTCGTGTCCTCCAGAATGGAAGGGAAGCACATGCAACATCGGTAGGTGCAGAATCTGCTCAGCGATGTTTTATTTGGAAAGTACATCCGCCTTGTGCAGTATCAGAAAAAGGATAGGTTTCTCTTTTCTTCCATCCCTTTATCTCAGTAGTAACCCAAGAGTAAGCACAGTTTGTCTGGTGGGAAACACCTGATTCATTTGGTTTGCATCCAAAGATCAGTTTATCATAATGACTACATGGAAGCGGGGGAATTAGGATCACATTTAATCTCTACTCCCAGATCAGCTACTCCGGCTGTGTTCTAATTACAAGGATGAGACTAAAGGGGGGAGTTGACTCTCTGGGCACATGCCCAGCCTCCAGCTTCATACTGATGATGATGCAGTCTGAGGGCTGACATGGTGTAGTGGTTAGAATGTCGGACTTGAACCTGGGAAGATCAGGGTCGAACCCCCCACTCAGCCACAGAAGTGACCTGGGGTCCCTCACAGTCTCAGCCTAGCGTACCCCCCCCCCATGAGGATTAAGCGGAGGAGGGAGGAACTACGGGACGTGCAAAGCCACTTTGGGTGCCCGATCACAGAGAAAGCAGAATCCAGATAATAAATCATAGTCTGAAATCCGTGTTAAAATTTCTATAGTTACGACAAGTCTCTCTCTTTTGCCAAAGCTAAGAACAGCAACTGTTCTCCCAACCCTTGCCTGAATGGCGGAACCTGTGTCGGCAGCGGAGATTCCTTTTCTTGCATCTGTAAGGAAGGCTGGGAAGGACGGACGTGCACACAGAGTGAGTTTGCCCTCACCCGCTTATGTCAAAGACTAGTCCTTCAACCCAGTGTAGCTCATATGCAGAATATCCAGATGGTTGCTCATAAGAAGTTGGCTTACCACTGAGGCCAGCTTGCTCACAAACTTGAACGAGACCCAGCTATAGGAATTGTTCAGAATATTTTCCTTTCGAGTTACATTTTGGGATTTTTTACTAGCATACCAATACGATGATTTGCTTAGGTGTGGCAGAACTTTGAGTCTGTCGCTCAAGACGGAACATGCACACAGTGTTACATCTAGTCTAAATCTGAAGATTCTGCTTTGAAATTACCTTTAATAGCATCTTCCTTCATTAGGCTGTGAGTCTTGGGCACTATAAACAGTGATAATTGCAATCATTTCCTTAAATCTGAAGAAACAACGGGGGGAGGGGGAGGGGAAAAGTTTACAATAACTGGAAATTGCTTTTCTGCTGTTCCTTCATGGTTCAGCCGTTTCTCCATAGCTGTCCAAAATGTTTTTCTTACCTAAGTGAGAATTGGAATCATAATGAAATGACAGCCTCCCTCGATTTGCTTTAAACTGGGGTTTAGCTATAGTCAGAAGACCAATAGAAGGCTGGATCTGGTTGAAATCAAGGAAAGGTGCACTTTATTCAAATGTAACTTTGTGGTAATGACAGTACAAACTTGGCATGTTTTTTTTTAATTCTAGTATTCAGATCAGAATGATAAAAATTCATACACATTTGTTACTCTAAGCAACATTCTATGTTGCTTCTACAAGGCGTGGTTACATACAAGAGAAGCAAAAATGGAGAATAATGTGGGCATTTTAAAAAGAATTTTGATGGGGTATATAGAATCATAGACTCATAGAGTTGGAAGGGACCTCCAGCGTTATCTAGTCCAACCCCTTGCAAAATGCAGGAAATTCACAACTGCCTCACCCTCACACTCCCAGGGACCCCTGCTCCAGGCCCAGAAGATGGCAAAAAAGCCCTCCTGGATCCCTGGCGGCACTGGCCGGGAGAAAATTGCTTCCTGGCCCCAAAGTGGCGATCGGCATTTCCCTGGGCATGTTAGAAAGGGCCACAAGAACTAAGCACTGATGCAACCCTTCCTGAAGGGTAGACGAGACCCAGGAATTCGCTGTTTTACCAAACCCACCTTAGAACAGAAATTCCCCTCTACATTGCATGCAACTTTCACTTTGGTTGTCCGATTTTATGGCAGTGTCCAGACTGCATGCCGCTTTCACTTTGTTTGATCTCTCGGTTTTATGGTACCTGTCTGCATAGCTTTATGGCCATTTTATGACCATTCAGGGGTGACTCTGCGCAGTGCCTGGGGTATTTGATTGTGGTTTTGAGCCACATCTTTTTCTGTTCCAGTGTGGGGTTGGTAAAACAGTGGAGTGAATGCTAGATGCAGAATGGGCCCCTGTGGAAAGTAGGGTTGCCAGGTCTGGGTTGGAAAATACCTGGAGACTTTTGGGGTGTATCTGGGAGAGGGTGGGGTTTGGGGAGGGGAGGGGCCTCAGCATGCTCCAATGCCATAGAGTCCGCCTTTCAAAGCATCCGTTTTATCCAGGGGAGGTGATCTCTGTCAGCTGGAGATCAGCTGTAAAAGTGGGAGATCTCCAGGCCGCACCTGGAGGCTGGCAACCCTAGTGGAAAGACAGTAATGCTAGGAAAAGAGGGATTGACTCAGCAAAGGAAGCCACAGCCTTCCATTTGCAAGACCTGAGAAGGGTTAGGATGTTTGGGAGGTCGTTTAATTCATGGGTTACCAGAAACTGGAAGCAGTTTGATGGCACAGAGCACACGGTAGATATCTAAAGTGGAAGTCATGCCCCCTCTTAGGGATATATCTCTGTTTTTATTTCCCCATAATATTGAATGAGCATTGACAGTTGGGTGTATGGTTCTTGTGTGTGTCTAAGTATGTTGTCTCCAAATGCGTTGATATTTTACTATCTTCTGTCTAGATACTAACGACTGCAACTCCCATCCATGGTAAGTACTCGAGGATTATTTCTTCCTTAAAAGTCCGAATACTATGGTTGAATGCAGAACAGAGTTTGAGTTCAGTTGCAGCTTTAAGACCAACAGAGTTTTATTCAAGGTATAAGCTTTCGTGTGCACGAACACTGACTGACGAAACATGCAGGCACGTGAAAGCTTCTACCTTGAATAAAACTTCGTTGGTCTTAAGCACCCCTGGACTCAAACTTCGTTCTGCTGCTTCAGACCAACACGGCTACCCCCCACCTGAATTTGTGGCTGAATGTAAATAGTCTTCTGCAGGGCTTTTTTTGTAGAAAAAGCCCAGCAGGAACTCATTAGCATAATAAGCCACACCCAACAGCAGGAACTCATTAGCATATTAGGCCACACCCCCAGCAGTGCAGTGCATGGCCATCCGCTTGGCTTGCCCGGGCGCCCCGCGGCTGCAGGGAACCCGGGTAAGCCGGCCCTTGGACAGGCCGGGGAAGGCATGGGGAGGCATTTAAATGCCTCCCCGATCCTTCCAGGGGGCCCCCTGGCCGGCCCGCCTCGGAGTTGCCAGGGGGGTTCGCTCTCCAGGCCTTCCCTCTGTAGCCACGCATGGAGAGGTTTTGGCTGTAGTGGGCGTGGCGAACTCTGAAGCCAGCCGGAACTCCGTTCCTGTGCGTTCCTGCCCCAAAACAGCCCTGGTCTTCTGAATCTCCTGTAGATGGTTGCACAAGCAATATCAAATGAACTTTAGGTATTTATTTATTAACTCATTGCTCGACCAATACGTTTGCTCTCAGGTTTCTGCCTAACTATGGTCATTTGAGTTCTTGTTTACTCGTGCAGTAATACTTGGTGGTAAAATCCAGAATCAGGAGAGTATCCTGTACCAATTTAGATTGCAGGTGGGGGGGTACCATTTTTCAGTGCCTATTATGGATAAAAGATTTTCGCACAACCTGTTTCTGATGTTCCAGTACTCACTTTGGTGGGGTGGGAGTGTTAGAGAGGGGGGGGTCATAAAAATGTGATCTGCACTTACTTTCTGGAATGGTCTTTAGGCCGGAGAAACATTCCTTGGAGGGTGTTTGGATCCACCCCGTTGACAGGTGTCATAGCACCCACAGGCACCAAATTGGGGATCACTGATCTGAACCATACCATTAAGAATCTAATCTGGAGAGCCGGGTTTGATTCCCCACTCCTCTTCCACATGAAGCCAGCTGGGTGACCTTGGGCCAGTAATGGTTCTCTCCAAACTCAGCCTCGCCTACCTCACACGATGTCTGTTCTAGTATCTTCACCCTCCTTGGTCTTTGCTTTATATGTTCTTTGCCCAGCCATATGCATTCAGTCAGCTGTTCAGTTCATCTAGAGCCCCTTCCAGCTCTCTGTTCCTTCCATCTTCTGCGCCTCCTTCCTAACCTGTCGTTTCTCTGCTTTTCTCAATTGCCAGCTGCTGCAGCACTCCTTTCTGTGTCCAATCGGAATTTGAAATGTATTTAAAACAATTCTAAAATCTTTTAATGAAATTTATCCCCAGCCCTTAGTTGCTGTAAAGTTTTGCGATTCTGTGTAGTTTATCCGACTTTCAGAATTTCTCTGTAGTCTTCAGAGTGTGATACACTTGTCAGCTTGTCAGCTGAGCGGTCGGGTTAGAACGGATAAAAGGAAGTACTTCTTCACCCAAAGAGTGATTAACACATGGAATTCACTGCCACAGGAAGTGGTGGCGGCTATAAGCATGGACGGCTTCAAAAGGGAATTAGATAAGCATATGGAGCAGAGGTCCATCAGTGGCTATTAGCCACAAGGTATAGATAGGGACTCTCGGTCTGGGGCAAGGGATGCTCTGTCTTCTTGGTGCTTGGGAGGGGGGGTCAACAGTGGGAGGGCTTCTAATGTCCTGGCCCCACTGGTGGACCTCCTGATGGCACCTGGTATTTCTGGCCACTGTGTGACACAGAGTGTTGGACTGGATGGGCCTTTGGCCTGATCCAACATTGGCATCTCTTATGTTCTTATGTAGATGTAAAATTATAATTTAATCCGAGCAGCTAGATTAACCAACCATCCGTTAATCTTATGGCGTATTGATACCTACAGCTGCATCCTGTGCTCTTAGATTAGCTAAAAATCCATTTTATAGTCACGCCTGACTTCTCCTGGCAACTGTCCAATAACTACCTGCCTCTTTTCTCTTCCTCAGAATACATTCTTATCAAACTGTACATTGATATGATGCTTCTGCATATTTTTTACACTTAATTACTTTATTTATACCCCAATCGGTGGACCCAGGGCAGTTTACATCATTCTCCTCTCTCCATTTTATCCTCACAACAGTCCTGTGAGGTAGGTTAAACTGAGAGCATATGACTGGCCCAAGGTCACCCAGCAAGCAGGGATTGTGGGAGCAGAGATCTTTGTGCCGCAGTAGACTGTTAATTGAATACTTAACTGGCATAGTTAAGGCGATGCAGATGGTTTATTGAAATTGACATGCTTTGTGAATTCATAGTACAGTCCCTATGCACAGTTAATCCGGTGGAGTTAAACTGCTATCTCTTGAATTCTGGCTAGGTTGAGTGGTGAAACAGTATCTGTGAATACCAATAAAATGTCAATTTACACAGGTTATGTAGAATAACTACAGTTTCTTATCTCTCAGTTTGTGACACAGCCTTGACAGACAGTAATAGGTTTATTATTTTTTACAGTTACAATGGAGGCATCTGTGTCGATGGAGTCAATTGGTTTCGCTGTGAATGCGCACCTGGGTTTGCTGGTCCAGACTGTAGAATTAGTAAGTACTTGTGTAGGCAAAGAATTGAGAGGGTCACACAACTGACCCAAAACCCTTTGCCACATCTGCCCTTTGACTTTCTGTGCATTAAGCTTAGCCAGAAGCTAACTGAATTATTCATCATGCTGATCTTTGCTGTTCTTTACAAGGCAGTCTCCTGTCTGAGGACAGAGTTGTTGTCGGAGGGGTGTTTTCCCATTTCAGCAAATGCAACTAAAACGATGTACTTTGACTTGTGAACTCAGGTCTTCAAGCACACCTGAGCCTTTCGTTAATCTCTTAGCCCCAAGGGAGCCACAGAAGGCTCTAATGTCCTGGCCCCACTGGTGGACTTTTTTCCCATTTCAACAAATGCAACTAAAACAATGTACTTTGACTTGTGAACTTAATTCTTCAAGCACACCTGAGCCTTTTGTTAATCTCTTAGCCCCAAGGGAGCCACAGAAGGCTAAAAGGTTCTTGGGTGCTATAGCCATGTTTTTGCGTACTCCTCTGATTTGAATACTGCGCATAACGTGGGTTTGCATCTGTTGACAAGAGGGTTGCCAACTCTGAGTTGGGAATTTCCTGGAGATTTTGGGTGGTGCTTGGGAAGTGAGCTGAGAGAGGTCTATGATGTCATAGAGCCCACCCTCCAAAACAGACATTTTGTCCAGGAGAACCGATCTTTGGTGGACAATTGGGAGTTCCAGGAGATCTTCTGGCCCCACCGGGACATTGACAGCCATATCCTGCTTCCAGGCACATGGGCTTCTAGAACATTTGCCTTTTTGTAAATGCTCCAATGCCACGGGGGGGGGGGAGCGGAGGAGGGAGATGGCGTGGAAGCTGGGGCCTGGTGCTAATTGCGAAACCAAGAGGAGGTCTGAGGCACGGGGGGCGTATTGGTGACAATTAGGGCTGCCGGTTCCGGGTTGGGAAATACCTGGAGATTTTGGGGATGGAGCCTGAGAAGGGTGGAGTTTGTGAAGGGGGATCTACATCATTAGGGTTCAGTGCCCGTAGAGTCCACCTAAAGCCGCCATTTTCTCCGGATGAACTGATCTCTGTCACCCGGACATCAGTTGCAATAGTGGGAGAGCTCCAGCCACACACACCACCTGCAGGTTAAAAAAAACCCCAACCCTAGTGACAATTGTAGCACTACGTTAGGGCCTGGATCCTATTCATAAGCTCCATGCACACTAGATAGCCTCTACCATGGAGTGTTCTTCCTCTTCCACTGAAACTTCCATTTGTGGGCGTACCATTGACAGGAAGAGGGAAGCGAACAGAGCATCGTTAAAATTCTTGGTAAACTGGCACCCACTGACATTTCCCCAAGTACATGCGTGACTTAAAAAAGAAGTGCAAGGACATCCAGTCCAACACTCTGTCACACAGTGGCCAAAGATACCAGTTGCCATCAGGAGGTCCAGCAGTGGGGCCAGGAGAGCTTCTAGTGTCCTGGGCCCACTGCTGGACCTCCTGATGGCACCTGGCATTTTTGGCCCCTGTGTGACATAGTGTTGGACTAGATGGGCCATTGGCCTGATCCAACATTGGCTTCTCTTATGTTCTTATGATTCTGTAAGTGAGGGTATTTCTCAGAATTTGTTCACTTGATCTGTAGCTCGCCTTTCTTGCTGGGATTCAAGGTGGATTACAAAAGAATAGGCAGGCAGCATAAGGTACCCAGTAGACAGCACAACAGGACTAGGATTACAGAACGGGAAACAGTGCAAACAAAAAACTGTCAAAAGCATGACATGCTGTAATAAAGGAAGCAGATTACAAAGGTAGAAGACAATGCAATAAAAGCAGATCGGCATTGCAAGAGACTGCCATCATGTTGCCTTATAAAAGAATCCTCCTGAGCTATTCCACTCCATTTCTCAAAATCTCAGGTGCCATCTCCCCTCTGTACAAACAGGCCACAGATTCTGACATTAATTATACAGATGTATTAACAAACAGGAAAGTTTTTCAGTTTTTTGTCAATATTTTCTCCTCCTGGGAGTTTCACGGCATCTATTAGCTGTGTTAGAGTAGCTATTTTATTGTATGTTTAGGGGTATAGAATTATTTGATGTTTGGGTTTTTAAAAGAATGCTGTAACCGGCTCTGAGCCCTGTGGACAGGGGAGGGAGGGCTATAAGTCAAATAAATAAATAAATAAAGCCATAGCAGCTGGGGGTAACTAATTTGTCGCAAAAGCTTGATCAGCATATGACTCAGCCGGCTGTCCCATGGACAGAATTCATTTTATGCTCTTATATCCTCAGCCTTGGTTTACCCTCTGTAAAATAAAACTGAGCTCTCACCCAGCTGGTGCATCCAAAACCTACAGTGGTTTGCACATCGAGCATTTGGGCAATTCTTTTTTTCCATTTCCCAGATATTGACGAATGCCAGTCGTCCCCTTGTGCATACGGCGCAACTTGTATTGATGAAATAAATGGCTATAGGTGCACCTGCCCCCCTGGAAGAGCTGGAACCAGATGCCAAGAAGGTATCTTGAAACTTTAAACTGAGAGGACAATATCAGATTCTTCGGTCTTTTACCTGCTGTTTTTATCTGCTTTTCTTTTTAATTGTAATAACTTGGGCTATAGTATTATCTATTACATTTCTAGCCTGCCTTTTTTTTTGGCTAAAAAAAGAAATACAAAATGCAGAAAGGATCAGTCTGTGTCTCCCCACTTCCCCAGCATAGTTGCTGGCTGATTGTGGGAAGACTGGGTGGTGGCTAGTCACAAAACCAAAATAGGACCCACGGTAAGTAGGAAATACCAAAAATCAGCAAATACCGTGCTACAGACGATTATAAAATATCGCAAATAATGTTTATATATTTTTACAATTTATTCACCATATATTATTTATCATATAAGCCTTAATACATAGATGTTTTGATATATGATTCTAAGTATCATCTCTTAATATATCACAAGAGATATTGCACAACCGCTTTATTAATATCAGTCCTCCTTAATTATACAAAAGTTTTAAGAGGGAGGACTCCTTTAAGTCTATTTTGAGTAAGTGCCCAGTCTTCCTCCAACAGAGGTCCAGATATCCTCCTGTTTCAGTGTCTTCCTCAGGGAGTTCAACAGATATTTCCAAGCACAAGGTTGCCAAATACTAACATAAAAGGTAGCAAAAACAGAATAGGTTACAATACTATAGCAGTCTCATAGTGGACAGAGTCTTAAGAAAGTGAAAAGTTCTTACCCAAAATATTTATCCAATTTTTTCAATGAGCGCTGCAAAAAGTCTGTTAGTGAGCTCAAAGCTTCCTCCAAAGTGAAAAGCACGTTCAGTCTCTCCTTAACCTTGCATAGTTATATAGAGCACAATAGGTATGGCTAATTAAAAGGACATAGTCCTCCATTAAAAGCCATTCATCAGTATTACAAATAAGTTTTTTGAATTTTTAAATTTGTTTCCTGGAGGCAGCCTTGGGAAAAAGCCAGCACAGCTAGCAAAGATTTGTTTCAAATGGATCAAGATTTTTTTTTTAAGTGCAGTGTCTTGCATTAATTAGGGTTCAAGAGAACTCATCTGAACTTGCTTCTATACTTAAACTGAAATTATTTCTAATTTCTCCCCCCCCCACCACCACCACCAGTGATAGGTTTTGGAAAATCTTGCTGGCTTAAAGGAACATCCTTTCCCCATGGCAGTAGATGGGATCAAGAATGCAACAGCTGCCACTGTTTGGATGGCCACATTGACTGCACCAAGGTAATATCAGACTTGAATGCTTTGTGTTGTCTTGTTTCCCCTCCATTTTAAAACCTCAACTGCCTCCTCTGCCAGCTGTCTTAATTATTTAATTTCGTAGCATCTCTGCATGTAGTTACTTTGAGCTAACTACCCACCCCACCCATTTCCATTCAACATGCACTCAAACACTTAGAATATTATAGCATAAAATAAAAATAGGAATAATGCCACCCCTTCTTGAGTAGGTTAGCCTACCCAGCAATTTCCGGTTTGCAGAACAGAATTTGAGCCAAAGCCTAGAACTGCCCCATTGTTCGTCTAATGTAAAAAGCTATATGTGATGCAATGAAGTCTGTCTCATTTGCTTTCATCGTGTATAAATTCACATTATACATGAAGGGAGACCTTTTTTTAGGTAGTTGCTAACTATTCATATTGCTGGGAAATGCTCTCATTTCTGTAATACTCAAGCGACTTGCCACAAACTTCAGTAGAGTTCATGAAATATGTATATATTTACCAGGGTATTTCTGAATATTCCCGAATACCAGTATCAATATTTTATTGATATTTGGGTAAATATTCGGGAAACCCGAATTTATTTGGCTCCATAGGGTATAATGGAAAATTTCACTCACCAAGTCATGCTGCTGCCACGTCGCAACTCGGCGAGTTCAGAAGGCATTTAAAGAGACTGCTGTCTTTTTAAGTGCCTTCCTGTCATGCCTGCATAAAAACTGAATGATATCGACTTTAATTTGGGCCTGGCTATTTTGGTAGCCAAATCATATTGTCCAATCTGTATTCAGCTGAATAAATACCCATTTTTGGTATTTATTTGACTCAGTATATACCGAGTGCACACCCCTAATATTTACACATACATTTCTGTAATGTTTTTCTTCTGAAGTTTCAAAGCTTAAGCATATGGTGAGAGCTCCATATTCCAAGGACTGGCACGGTAACCCACAGCACAGGATAAGTGCAATTAGCTGAAGCACACCTGAGTGAACTGTCTTAAACCGCAATCTCTAAACATCTCTACTTTGCAATGCTTCAAGTGGGGAGGGGTGAGCCCATGGCTCAGTGGTACAGCAGCTCCTTTGCGTACAGAAGGTCCCACTTCCAATTCCCAGCATTTCCAGTTAAAAGCATCAGGTAAGAGGTGATGTGAAAGACCTCTTGTCTGAGACTGTGGAGAGCCACTGCCTGTCACAGTAAACAATACTGAACTTGAACAACCTAGTAATCTGACTCAGTAAAAGGCATTTTCATGTGTTCATGTAGTGGGCATGCATTTATTTAAGGTGCTTTTAGCTTGCTTTTCTCTGTTCCATGTGGACTCAAAGCAGCTTACGATTTTTTAAAAAAGGCATCCAATTTAAAAAATATTACTTATTGCCAAAAGACTCATTCACGGGGGGCCAGTGGGATTTCAGAATCCCCGATTCTGTGTCAAGGTTTTGGTGGGAAAGCTTCTGGGCTATTTCTCCATGTCTTGCGGAGGAAGCAAGGGAATAAAGCAATGAGTCTTGTCTCCAGACTAGTTATCACTGACTTGGAAGTTCCCAGGTTACACCCTGAATGGTCAGCAGGTGCCCTGTGTTTTGGGTAGAAGGAGTCAAGCTGTACCCCCTTAAAGAGGCAGGCCGTCAAGTGCACAATCTCGTTCAGTTTTGTAAGGACTTCTGTTTGACTTTGTGCCTTGATCTACTTGAAATATTCTGGAGAGTCCCTAACAATCTTTTTCACAGCCAAAAGGTGACATAGTGCCAACAGCTATTTGAGAATAAGCAAAAACAAATACTTGCAGTTACCCTCAAGGTCCTGGAGCAGAGCATTCCTAAAGAGATCCTTCTGTTGAGAGAGTATGTTGTTTCTGCAGCTGATTTGCAGGAGTGTTCTTGTTGGAACTAAAATGACAGGCACAGTGGATGATTTATTCATGTGTTATAGATTTGGGTATCTCTGCGGACTGAAACCAGTAGATCCGTTTAAATTCTAGGTGTGGTGTGGGCGAAAGTCCTGCTTGTTTCCCGGTCACCCAGACCATGCAGCCTACCGGTGTCCCAAAGGTCAAGAATGCCAAGAAAAAATGTACGTCAAATGTTTCCAGCCGCCTTGTGCCAACTGGGGAGAGTGCGGTGAATCGGAACCCCTGCCTGCCAACGTCAAGTGTCATCCCAGTTCGGGCTACTTGGACAACAGCTGTGCCAGGATCACTCTGATTTTTAACAGAGACAAAGTACCCCAGGTGAGAATTTTAAGTGGCATTCATGTTTTGACAGCGTCACAACAGTCCGCTTTGCAACACGGCACCGTAGAACGTGCTGTCTCCCCAATGCAGCTTTCAATTGTTCTCCATGTTATCCTCACAGTAACCCTGTGACGTGGGGCGATTCTGCATCTGGCATTTCGCTCCACGTTTTCTCAACACTGAGGAAAAGGTGCAGCTCAAAGCCACATTCAAATTCCCCGGGGCAATGCCGTACTGACTGCGAAGTCACCCCTGAACGGCCATAAATCTATGCAGAAGGTACCATAAAACCCGATGATCAAAGAAAGTGAAAGAGGCATGCGGTGTAGAGGGTACCATAAAATCCAATGATCAAAGAAAGTGAAAGCAGCATGCAATGCAGAGGGGAGTTTGGTAAAACAACAGAGAGAAAAGCCAATGCAGAATCGCCTGTAGATTCAGGTGGTAGCCATGTCGGTCTGAAGCAACAGAACAAAGTTTGAGTCCAGTGGCACCTTTAAGAACAACAAAGTGTAATTCTGGGTATAAGCTTTCATGCGCATGTATCTGATGAAGTATGCATGCACACAAAAGCTTATACCCAGAATTAAACTTCCTGTGGAGTAGATTAGGCTGAGAGCGTGTCAACTGGCCTAAAGTCACCCAGCAGTTTCCCACGGAAGAGTGGGGATTTGAACCTGGGTCACCCAGAGCCTAGTCCGACACTTGTCCATCCAGCCATTAGTGGGGAGAGAGTGCTGCTCCTCCAGGCTTTAAACACCGAAACTCTTTTAGATACTGACTTCCTAACCAGGAAACAAACCCATCTGTTCCTTCATACAGTGAAACATTACAGATAATCTCTTTGGGAAGAATGCTCTTATTTGGGAAGGGATGGTGTTTTCATGCAGTGTCCCTATCTCCTCCCGGTGCTCTCCTGAGAACTGGAAATCCTTAGTCCTGGAAGGTTTTGTCTGCCTCCTTTTATTTATTTGTTTATTAAAACACTTACCTACTTTTATTTATTTGTTTATTAAAACACTTACCTGCTTCGTGGTTCAAAGTGGCTTACAATAATAAATGTTATTGAAATAAATATTATTGAAAACAAATCAACCTCAAACATAATACCCCTGTATGAATCTATGGTGCAACTTCCTGTGGAATACTGTGTACAGTTCTGGTCACTGCACCTCAAAAAAGATATTATAGCATTGGAAAAGGTGCAGGAAAAGGCAACTAAAATTATTAAGGTGATGGAATACCTTACTATGAAGAAAGCGTAAAAAGGTTAGGGCTCTTCAGCTTGGAGAAACGATGGCCGAGGGGTGACATGATAGAGGTTTACAAAATTATGCATGGGATAGAGAAGGTAGAGAAAGAAGTACTCTGCTCACTTTCTCACAATACAAGAACTTGTGGGCACTCCTTGAAATTAGTAAGCAGTAAACTTAGAACAGATAAAAGGAAGTACTTCTTCACACAAAGAGTCATTGACACATGGAATTCAGTGCCACAGGAAGTGGTGGCAGCTATAAGCATAGACATCTTCAAGAGGGGATTGGAGAAACATCTGGAGCAGAGGTCCATCAGTGGCTATTAGCCACAAGGTCTAGATGGAGCACTTAGCCTGGGGCAAGTGATGCTCTGTATTCTTGGTGCTTGGGGGGCCACAGTGGGATGGCTTCTTATGTATTCTTGGTGCTTGGGGGGGCCACAATGGGATGGCTTCTTAAATTCTGGCCCTACTGGTAAACCTCCTGATGGCACCTGGGTTTTGGCTACTGTGTGAGACAGTGTGTTGGACTGGTTCAGGCCATTGGTCTCTTTATGTTTTTATGTTCTCTTTGATGTTCTCCTGCCACACAAGGAGTGACGTTCAGGCCATTGGTCTCTATGTTTTTATGTTCTCCTGCCACACAAGGAGTGACGTTCCTTTGAGATACAAATGGAAACCAGTGTGATAGTGCCAGATATTAAGCAACATACCTAATATTTGCAGTCTCTCTAATCTGCACCGGGCACACTCCTGATTGCCACCACCCTCAGAGGTATAACTGGATGGGCACTCGGGACAGGGGCTTTTCTGCAGTGGCACCATACCAGCAGCACCTCTGAATCTCTCTCTCCCCGTAGCTGCTGGCATGGAGCCTGGTTGTAGGCACCAAATGAAAATTTTGCCCTTACGCTGTTCCTCTGGGGCTGGTGACCCCAGGAGCAAACATTCAGGGGGCTCAAGAAACTGCAACGGGAAAGGAAGCAGGACTGTTCCAATCCTCGGAGTTTGTGGGTGGTTGGAGACACCCCGTTGCTTTTTGCCGGCCAGTTGTGTTACAATCAATGTTCCCTCTAAACTGAGTTAGTGTGAGCTAGCTCACACTTTTTTAGCCTCCGGCTCACACATTTTTTGTCTTAGCTCAGAAAGGATGGCTCCAAAGCAAACTGATTTATGCAACAGCCAAATCATTCGCTCACAACTTTAATGCCAGTAGCTCACAAAGTTGAATTTTTGCTCACAAGACTCCACAGCTTAGAGGGAACATTGGTTACAATAAAGTGGTTTTTAGCAGCTATTTTTAATTGTGTCAGCTACCTTCAGAGGCTTCAGCTGAAGAGACTGCATGGGATGCCTCTCTTTTGATAAATGCCCTGGTTTTATTATTGGACCACTAGAAAGGAGACTAGCCTCTTGGCCTCGCTCTGTGAACTCCAGTAGGTCCCCCTTGGGTGGGTTGGGTTCTGAAACGAAGCCATACTTTTTAACCTTTATTCCCTGTTTCACAAGGGGAGGGGGTTTGTGTTCTCTCCCTCTCACAGGGCACAACCGTGGAAAACATTTGCTCTGAAATCCGATACTTACCCGTCACTCGATCTGTTTCAAGTGACCGAATGCTGCTGCTCTTGTGTGATCCATCCTACTCTATAGAGAACGCAGTAGAAGTTGCTATTGTAAGTATCGGGCGTCCTTCTGTGTAAGTAGGGAAATGTTTTCCCATTGCGGTCTGCACTCTTGATCATGGAGATCTCTTGAGTCATTTTGCTTCTAACATAGGAGTGTTAGAACTTCTAGCATAAGACTGTCAGGGAGGGTGGTTGAAAATATTGCAGGGAGCGGCACCTTTCCCGAATCCGGATTTGTGCCACTCTGACCCAGAAATGGGCATAAGGGTGATCAGAGATGTCTGAGGCACAAAGAAAAAATACGATTGTTACCTTCTGTGGATGCAAGAAAGGAGTAAGTAAATGATGGAAGCAGAGGTCATTTTGGGGGGGAACGCGGGGGAACACAGTTCCCCCAGGTGAGGTGCAGGGGGCGGGGCACATGACGAAACCCCGCCCCGCTTCCGGCCCTCATTCAGCCAGGAGGAGGCAGGAGAAGAGGGAGGGTAAGTTGCTTCCTCCCTGCCTCTCCCCACCCCTGCCTGCCTGGGGCCAGGGAGGGCCTTTCTGGGGCTTCCTTGCACTCCCACCGGCCTTGCAGGTCCACCGCCGGGCCACTGATGTCAGGGGGTGTGAGTGTCAGATGTCTGAGGCACAAAGAAAAAAACACGATTGTTACCTTCCGTGGGTGCAAGAAAGGAGTAAGTCCTGGATGGAAGGTTTCAAAAAGTACAGATGTCAAGGGGAGGGAAGCGTTGGGTAGAAGCAGAGGGAAGAACTGTATTGAAATCTGTAGGCAGTCGCTCGGATAAGACACAAGAGCACCAATGTGTAGGAGAGTAATTCTTCCTTTTTGGTGCTAAATTTAGAACATGAGGTGGGAGGTAATTGTCTTACCATTAGAAAGCAGTCCCAGTGGTACGGTAACAACCTGTCTGGGGTCACTATGTCCATGTGCTGGCAAACCGGTTTTGGAATTACAAATGCGGCACGTCTCAGCGTTGTGGGTATGGTTTGACTGAGGAGCGTTGTGGGTATGGTTTGACTGGGGATGTGATACATTGGTCTGAGGATTCATCGTAGAAGATGGAGAAGATCACTTCAGCGTGGAAGGATAACCAAACATGCTCAAGTGTGGGGATTTGAACCTGAGTCTCCCAGATCCTAGTGTGACACTTAACCACTACACCACACTGGCTCTCTAAGGAAGTCTTTGCTTATTAATCTTACGGGGCAAAGGCCCTGCAAAGTCCCGTCACTCGGCATAGGAGCACCGCAAGGTTTTGTGTGAAGCAGAGCTGATTTTCCGTTCAAACCACTCAAGAGAGCACCAGTTCGGTGTAGTGGTTAGGAACGTGAACTCTTATTTGGGAGAACCGGGTTTGATTCCCTGTTCCTCCACGTGCAGCTGCTGGTGTGACCTTGGGTCAGTCACAAGTTATTTCAGAGCTGTTCTCTCACAAGCAGTTCTCGAAAGAGCTCTCTCAGCCCCACCTACCTCACAGGTTGTCTGTTGTGGCGAGGGGAAGGGAAAGGAGACTGTAAGCTGCTCTGAGTGAAGGGCGGGGATATAAATCCAGTCTCTTCTCTCCTCTTCTTCTTAATGCGGCACAGGGAGGAGGGTGCCGGTGCCCCAACTGGACTCAGTTTACTCCCAGCCATCCGCAGCATAGGTAGTGACTGGGATCTCTTCCTGGGCCTGTGTTGCTGCCAGCCAGACCCAAGCCAAACAGTCCGGGACTCAGCCGACAGTGGCACAGGGCCAGGAGGGGATGGGCATAACTCCCTGGGAGCAGCAAAACATCCTTAGCTGGCCCTAATGAGCATCCTTAGTAAAATCACAACTTACGGAAGCCAAATGCCTTGAGGATACTTCTGGGCCGCCAAGGTAAAATGAGCTCAGCCTGGAGGCTGGAGAGGGAATTTCTAGAAGGCCTGCTAATATCTGAAGGCCGCTACAAAGCAAGAAGACAGCTTAGCCAGGCCTGTAGCTACAGTGGGGCATTTTGGGGCCCTGCCCCCTTAATCAAAAGCCATGCCCCCCACAAATAGCTATGCAAAAAACCTTCTTTTCGCGTTGACACCCCTGCTGTTGGCAGGGGCCAGAGTGAGAGTGCTGCAGCTTGCCCTCAGGCGTCCCTCTACCATCCTCTGTGGAATGGGGGGGGACATTATGAGACCTGGGAAAAGACAGCTCAGAAAGCATTTAAATCCCTCTTGAGTCCCCTTCCACAGGGCAAGAAAGCTTAGAAGGGTAAATTAATTAATTCGCATGTTTCCCAAAGGCTCATGGGAATGCTTTTGGAAGAGTCACCATGACCTAGGTGGTATACTGCAGGACTGTGCTAGCAGAAAGGGGGATTGTTGGAGATTCTTTGGAGGTGCCACTCTTGAGTGCTCTTCTGAGCTTTCTTGCTCTGTGGAAGGGAACTCAAAAGGTATTTTAAATGTCTTCTGGAAGCAATTCAGTGCCCTCTGAGCTGGTTTTTTCCCCTAGGAACTAACACACTTGCTGCCCTGTCCTTTGAAAAGAAGGGCTAGAAACAGGCTTGGAAACACACACACACCCCTTTTAAGACAGGCATTCAGATTAATTAACTGTAATTTAACTGCCCCTTAAAATTGTAAATACCCCCTGAACAAAAAAAAACAACAACCCTGGCTACGGGCCTAGCTAGGAGAAAAAAAAATCTTAATTCTAAAAGGCATAGTGTTGGCAGGGGTGGACTGGCCACTGGGGAAAGTCCCAGGGGGTTGATGGCCTGGGGGGGGGCACGCACTCCTGCCAAAGCCAGCCCTGCCCCAATTGAGGGTCGGCCTTTGCCCCATGTGATGTGTGTGTAGGAGTTACTGTGAGCTGGCAGCCCATCTCCCATGGGGAGGGCAGGACCCCCTGCTTTTTCCGCCCATCCCCCCTCCACCAGAGGGGGTGGGGGCTCTCATCCAGGGCCATTTTTACTTCTCCGTTTGCTAGACTCTCTTTGCTTGTTTACAAGAGCACCATTTATGCTTAGTATCTGGCTACCGTAGAGTTGCAGGTTTACTGAGCAGACCAGATGCTGGCGTCTATCCACACTGGCTTTGAACAAGCCCCACCTGCTTTGGCAGCATACTGGGTTTTTTGAGTTCTCAGATACAAGCCTGGTCACTAAAATAAGGCCAAAACTGGCTAATACAAAAAAACCCAACAACAACAGCGCCCTCATAAACCTCTGTTTCCTGTCTGATTTCAGTCTTTCATCTCGCATCAAGATGAGACCGATAACAGCCTTATTCAGAATGCTGCCAATGCTATAGTAAACGCAATCACCAAGCGGCAAAACAGTACGGTGATGCTGGCGGTAACAGAAGTCAAAATAGAAACCATAGTAGTTGGGAGTTCTTCATCAGGTAAGCGTAAAAGGGTTTTTAAAGAGCATGCCTTGCATGAAAGGAGCAGCGACCGTATAAAGTTTCAGTCCCCGTCCCCGGGTAGCCTTGGTACATCTCATTCCGCCATTGTTCTTGCTCTCGCTGTGCGAGGCCCGCTGTGGTATCTGAATACAACCAGCCTTTTCAAGAGTGGGCTGTGCACCTAGATCTTCGGTTAGCATCAGTGGCCACACTGGTGAATAGAGATCTTAGCTCATTTGGGGACACTTTGTGCCCGTCAAGGTTGGGGTTTTTTCCCCTCTCTCTCTCACTTTTTGATAAACTAGTTCAGGCACTTAATTGGGAAGCAATATCCCTTTACTGCTTTGAATCAAAAAACTCAGGCAATTGGGAAAGCAGCATGCCACTTGGTGTAACACCCTATGACACCAAGGCCAAACTTTGCGGAACATGTTAAACCCTTTTGTACTTTTTTGGTAGAATTCACAGAAGAGTGGCTCTAGAAGCTTTTCCTCTTATGTCCTCAAAATACAGCTGCCTGCTTACTTTCTGCTTTTAAAAATAAACCTGGGGGGGAAATAACCCCCCAAAAATCTATGCATTTTTGCTATTGGGTCGTTTGTTTTTTACCCCATGGGTTACTAAAATACCTCATTGGCATATATTCTACACGATGAGTTTTTTAAGACAGTGGTGATTGAGAGAACCATTTTTAAGTTCTTTGGAGAGATGTAGCCCTTAATAACAACCATGAAAGGGGGGAGAGGGGGGGTTGTGGGACATTTTTACCCTTATATTAAATTTGGGCTATATTTCCATCCCAAACCAATTTCCCCATGCATCTGTGTAAGCTGTTACAGAGGTGTGTTGAAGGTAAAAGCTACTTCAGCTGAATTGCTGCTCTCTCCTGATACCCCATTGTAGTACTTCTTCATAATGCTTTTCTGGACCCGTTTCTTGCATGTTCCCTCTGTGTTTTTGCCTTTAACTGTCAGTTGCTGACTAAGCTGTGTGTTTTGGTTTTGTGTTCTTTTCCTAGATTACCTGGTTCCGATCCTCTGTGCAGTTTTTAGTATTGTGTGGCTCACCTGTATAATAATCTGTGTGTGGTGGACACGGAAGAGAAGAAAAGAGCGAGAGAGAAATCGCCCATCTGGAGAAGAGGCTGCCAATAACCAGTGGGCACCTCTCAATCCCATATGGAACCCTATAGACAGACCATATGGTCCCAAAGACATTCACTATGAACGCAAAAATTTTATATCTCAAAAGAGAACTTATGATGGGGCGGAAGAGTACACGGAGTGTGAGGAGGAGGAGGAGGAAGAGGAGGAGGTCATGGAAATGGACAAATTCCTCTCTCACAAACTCTCTAAGCCTTTGCCAGCAAAGGCTGTTGACTCATCTGAGAATAGCCCTATTAAGAAATCTCTTCAGACAACCAAAATGGACAATAGATCTGTAAAGAATGTGAACATGACAAACCTTGAAGGCGTAAGAGACTAAATCTGTGTCTGGACCATAAGCCACGCCGGTCTAGGTTGGGGGGGGCACGCGGGAGGGGGGGACTGACATCTCCACTTTTGAGTCAAGAACTTTAAATGTCTGGGAGTCAAATGTTAATAGTTACTTTATTTTCAGTAAAAAAAAGGATGAAAATAATAAAATAAAAAAAATTATTTTGTTTCTTTTAGCCTTGTATAAATTATTCGATGACTGTCAGATGATAGAGTAATCTTTGATAGTTGCTATTTTTGTAAATTCTACTTAGAATACGCTTGCTGTATGGCAGAATGGGGGAAGTTTATATTTTCGATAATTTCGTAAAAGTTTATCTTACAGTCTTCTACACTGTTTACAGAATCCATTCTCTCTCTTAAAAAACACACACACCCCTGTTAGCAACAGTGGCTTAAAAACCTCCTGGTTGAGGAGGTTGCTGATAAAGAAGTCACACCCCCACACACCCCACAAGTCTTTGAATCCTACAAGAAGCCACTCCCTGCACTTGTAGGTTCTTTCCCCAAAAAATTCGCCTTAGTTTTCTTTTTGAACGAAAACCCTGTCTATAAAGATCTTTCAAACTGTGTTGGGGGGGGGGGGAGAGAAAGTGGCCTTTTAAAAGTTTTTCGTGTCCATTCATTTCCTTTCCTTTAGGACTGCAGTATTGAAGCACGCGTCAAAGTGCCTTGAAATTATAAAAAAAAAATTCTATAGCAACTGTCAAAGACTGCCATGCCTATCTAAGTTTACCACAAGAGGATGTTTGGGATCCTCAGGCAGACACAGTTTATTTTCAGATTTGTGAGAGTGCATTTTTTTTTTGTAAATATGTATATATTTAAATGAATCATTTCTGTATATTTGAGTTAATAACTTAAAAATATTTTTGGTCTTTTTTTTTTTTAAAAAAAGAAGTCATTCCTTTTTAATTTATGTCGCAGAAAGGGAAGTTTTATGGCAGTTTCTAATAAAAATACAAAAACCTTATTTTGGTATTATGTCCATATTAGAAAGCGATGTTCATACAATCAATGTTGGGAATCCGTTGGTCATTCTTTTTGTACTTTTCACTGTATCGCCACTGTTTTCACATGTAAATAGATCCAGGCTTTTTCTCCTCTCATCTCAAGAATGCAGAGAGTAAGTATACTGTACAGTATAAAGATAACACGGCAATATTTTTTTTTTCTTTTGTGATTGTTTATTACACATGGTATTGCTTTTTTGCATTTTTTAAAAAAATACAGGCCTAATGAAGGGAACAATACTTTCCATGCTTCTTGTTTCTAATGTGCTTCTTCACCTCTTCTTCTTTTCTTTAAGAGTGGAAAACTCTGGCTAGAACTAGATGTTATAGCAGGCGCTTGGCTACCGCCAAAAAAAAAAAGCATCCCTGCATCATCTCTTCCCTTTCTCAGAGCTTAGGAGTGATTCAGATCACACCAGGCGATGACACTGCACTGAGAGATTCCTTGTCTCTACTCCACTTCATTGGCTGCTATTTGTAGGGGTGGGGAAACTCTCGGTGTGATGTCATGTCTCGCCTCTCGTGTCACTAGATTGTGTCATTGAGAAAGTGGGGGGAGAAGGCGTCTGGGGGCTGCTTTTCTTGGCAGGAGCCCCACGTCTGCCACAACATCCGGTTTCGTTTTAGGAGATGGAATACCTCACGAGAAATTGGTAATTCATAACGGAAGGCTTGTGCATTATTTGCGGGTTTTTTAAAGGCTTTATTGCTGTTAAAACGGATGAGCTATATCTTTATTTTTAATTACTGGGAAAACATAATCCTATGTTACTTAGCTGTCCTATCATTGAAAAGAAAATTGATGTCTGTCTCACGCTCTCCCTCTCTCTCAACATTTTGGCCACTCAGCAATGTAACCCTGAATGTTTTTTTTTTAATTAGTTATTTTATACATGAATGCAGGAATTGCTTTGCAGGAACTTCTGTGCAGTACATTTTGTTTGATATGTTCTTCGATAGCTTTCGGAAGAAAACTATTTATTAAAGCATTTTATAACAAAGTTGGCAGTTGGCATGATTTTGTTTTACTTTGGGCTTTAAATACTCAACCCTGGAATTTTTTTTAATTAAGAAGTTTGTATTTCCTGAACCTCTTTTCCCATTCCTACTCAGTAAAGATGTATTCCCTTTGAGTGCAGTGTCTTAAATTATTTTCTGTTACCTTTTAATATTACTGCCTTGCTGAACATAATAGAACTGCTTTCCCTCATTTCAAGCCGCTCAATTTCCCAATCCCCTTGTTAATTTATCAAATCACTTTGGAAGCACAAGATTTCTTTTTTAGTCGCTTAAACTACGCATGGAACCAGGAGGCCTAGGGTAGATGCCCAGATTGGTTTTTCTGTGGCATGAATGAAATACAGGGTTACCAAGAGTGCAAATTTGAGTACTGATGTGGGAAGGGCCTTTCTCTATAGGTTGATTTTGTGTGTGTGTGTGTGTGTGTGAGAGAGAGAGAGAGAGAGAGAGAGCAAATCCTCTCACCTCTAGTTTCTGTTCCAGGACTCCTATCCGGGGAATCCTTAGAATTGGGAAAGTGGTTTGGGGTATGTTGGTTGTAAAAACAGACCTTTGGGGGAAAGAATTTACTTGCTGCCCCCTCCCCCAACCAAGCCTGCATTTTTAAGATTACCACACACACATCTTTGCAATGTATAATTTTGATCCTTTGGGTGGTGATATCATTTGGATCTTAACTCGAGCCGTTGAACACAAAGATGCAGGCCGTCCCTCAGTCCGAAGGCCATATTTTCATTGAGGCACAGATTCCCCACCACCACCACTACTATGGCGCTCCAGTACCAACCTGCAGAACCTGTACTTCGTTTGGCCTTTTGCCCTTTTCTCTGTTTGTTTGTGTTCTTTTACTGACTGGGTTAATTAACCCCCGGAGATCACATGGTACTTGAGAGAGATGCTCTCAGCAAAATCGTTCTGGGGTAGCATGCCAGCTTTTTATGAGAGTGATCATGGTGTATCAACAGGGCAACAATTCCATTCTTCCTGGTTTCTATGATATCCCTTTCTCTTAATTCCCCCAATCTTTAGTTTAGGAGCCAGCATGGTGTAGTGGTTAAGAGTGGTGGACTCAAATCTGGAGATCGAGTGGGCTCAAATCTGGAGAACAGGGTTTGAGTCCCCACTCCTCCTCCCACATGAAGCCTGCTGGGTGACCTTGGGCCAGTCCCAGTTCTCTCAGAACTCTCTCCGCCCCACTTGCCTCACAAGGTGCCTGTTGTAGGAAGAAATGAATGTTATTGTAAGCCACTTTAAGATTCCATAGGGTAGAGGAAAGCAGGGTATAAAAACATACGCTTCTTCCAGTAAAGGACAGCACGTTTTTTTCTTCATTCTCCGATTGGATCCCTGCTCTTCCAGTTGCCTAATTTTGCCCAGTCTCTGGATGTGCCTTTCAGCTACAATGTAAGGTAATTTTATAGGAAGAAATGCTGTTCTTGTCCCATTTGGGTTCTCCTGCCCTAGTTGCAAAGCAAATTTCTTGCCTGAGAAGCATCTATTGCAGTAGGAAGGGGGAAAGTAAAGTATTTAAAAAAGTAAAATATTTAAGTAAAAGGGGGGGGAGTAAAAATCCCAGGATTGCATCCTAATCTGAAGACCAAAAACAAGTTAATTGGAGAAATAAAATCCCCCCAAATTCCAGAAGTAGCCTTGCAGCTCCCAGAAATAAATGCTTTCAGTCGCTGTTATTAGGCAATTGCAAAAGATTGCCAGCCTTCAAGCTTTGGTTTCTGTCAGTAAAAAAGGCGGGGGAGGAGGGCAGGGCCCTTTCCAGGGCTGTTTTCATCTTTGATGGAGGACTCATTGGTGTCTAACCCACCAGAAACCACCACCTGATTTACATGACTTACCCATGCCTGGCTGTTTGCTACTGTTAAAACAGCAGCCACCTGCAAAAGCCAGTATTTTGTAATAGTTAAGACTAGGGTCTGTGAAATCCAGGTTGAAATCCCCACTCTGTCATGTAAGCTCACTGGGTGACCTTTGGCCAGTCACACATACACACAGGGTTGTTGTGAGGATAAAATGAAGAACAGTGTAAGTGGCTTTGGTTCCCCAAGGGGGAGAGAGTCTGCATATATAAATAATAAATGTAGCTGAAGATGAGCAGGCAGATAAAAGGCTATTAAGTGGATGGGAAGGAGAGAAGGAAACGGAAAGCTGAGGGTGTCGTGGCTGCCAGGAGGAAAGCGGAATTGGGGTGGGGAAGGGAGGTTATGGGGGAAAGGGAGGTCTTCATAGGTTCCCCACCATATATCTCAGCCCAGCCTGGCCAGTACCACACAACTCAGTCCTGCGACTAGTACCATGCAACTTGGCCAGAATTTTCCTGGGGAAAGGCTGCTGGAGGAAGGAAGGAAGGAAAGCTGCACATGTAGGTTGGTTGGTGGGTGGGAAGGAAAAAAGCAGGTAAAAGGTAGAGGCCAATGGGGGAGAGGGAAATGAGATGCTCCTCCCCTCAAACCCTTGCAGGTGCCCTGCATGGTCCACCTAATCTTCAACCATTTGACTAAGGTGAGTGGGCTTTACACTCGGGGTGTGAATGTGGTGGATTATCCTTGTAAATGCTTCAATCTGCCATTTCAAGAAAACATCTTAATTTATTCCTTAAATCCTTATTGGCTGTTCAGAAGTCTGCAACATCCCACCTAGAGCACTGATCTACCCTTTTTTGTTTTGTTAAGCGCTGTCCACGGCAAGCAAAGTTATGGTTATAATTTGACATTTAGAATAATGGGTATTTCCAGAGTAGGAAATCTTGTTTTATGGGGGGAAGACTTTGGGGCCGGTCGTTCCCCATCACCCACATGAGGTCTCTCCACACACCGAATGCCCACATTCCCTGACAGCTACTGGATTTTTCAAGATGGGTAGCCATGTTTTTCGGTAGCAGTAGAAAAGAGCAAAAGTCCAGTAGCCCCTTAAAAACGTAACAAAAATTTGTGGCAGGGTAGGAGCTTTCATGAGTCAGTGCTAGCTGTATTTGAAGAACTGGTGTCTCAC